CACACCACCACACCTAGCTAATCTTTGTATTTTTAGTAGAGATGGAGTTTCATCATGTTGGCCAGGATGTTCTCGATCTCCTGACCTTGTGATCTGCCCACTTCAGCCTCCCAAAGTGCTAGGATTACAAGCATGAGGCACCGCGCCCAGCTGTGGCCCACTTTTAAAACAACCTATTAATAACAAAAGTCTCTCTCTCACAGGACTGTCAAGAGAGTTAAAGAAAATGCCTCCTGTACCAAACACTTTTATTTAGCCAGGCATTGCAGACCAATGAAATTGCAAACCTGGAAACCTTCATCTTAGCCCCACTCTATGAATCATTTGAATATATGCAAATCAATAAGATTTCCTGAGTCTTATACCCGCTTGTCAGTTTAATGAAATTAGTACCTGCCCTCCCACCACCCTATACAAAAGTCCTAAAGGATAAAGAACAAAATCTAAATATTGTAATGCAGTATACGCTTCCTGGAAAAAAAAAAAAACTTTAATGTCTTAGTTAAGAAAAATACACAAAATACTCCTTCTTCTTAGGGCAGAATATTTGTAAAGCAGACAGACTACTATAAGCTAAAAAATTCTTAAATTATTTTGAGTTTCAAACACAACACTCACCACAGTAGAAAGGGGAAATATAACCTACCCCATGTTTCCATCCATCAGAAGAATCGTGTTGTATATGTGAGAAAATATGAAGAGAAAGAGAATTGTGCTGAAGAACATTGTCATCCATGACCCATGATCCTCTCGAAACATTTTTAATCGGAGCAACTGACCTGAAATACAAATATTATTAAATATTAATGTACATTGTAACTCAAAATTCATGGATCTTTGCTTTATTTTTATGAATCTCTATTGTCTCATTATATTCTGAAGTCTTTGCCATAGGACTGCCTTATGAGTAAAGCCACAATACAATGTTCTTTTTGCTCTTTTGTAAATAAATGATCATAAATAAAGTCCAAGACGGTCCTCATATCACATATCATCCTAGAGTAAATAGTACTAATCCAAGAATCTAGTGTTCAGAGATAGTACATTATGCTAGCATGAAAACAAGATGAACTACAGCCCTACTTAGCTGCTACTTTTTATTTTACAAATATGTTTTTGGTTCACACTGAAACTACTTAAGACAAATGGTAAAGTTGCATGAATCCCATATCATTTCCCTTTGCTTCTAAAGATCCATTCCCAATACTGGCCAGATGATAAAACCAAGGCCAACCTTACTTATCAGGTCTAATTGTTTAAGGTACATGAAAACTTGAAAGAAAAAATTAAGTCTCTGTTATAAAACACGCAGCTTAGCCTCACTCTTAACACCCATGCCCCTGTACAAGTACAAATACAAGTGCATATGAGAGGTGACAGTGTATGTGTTAATGAAGCTTGGTGTGGCTCCTGGCAAAACATAATTTTCACCCTGATGACTAAAATTCCATTTATGAAGACAAATGCTAATGTTAGAGAGAATGTTAAGATGCAAACACCTTAAGGAAGAAACATATATTAAGATGAACACTAAAGTAAAAACTACTAATATAATTCCACCAGAGAAATGTTTTGATTTATGGTAAAGAGAAATGATGGCACTAGTACCCTGAAAGATGAAGAAGGTGAAAAACCTTGGGAGTAAGAAAGATGTGAGCATAGGTCACCCTAGCTTCTCCCGAGGTAAGAATTACCTCCCTCCCTAAGAATAATAATGGAGATGACGTGCATACAGGAACTACAATTAAAATAGAGTAGACCTGAATCTTACAATAAAATTTCTTACTATTCCCTTTTTTAATGATATGCCAGTTATGAAATATATGTATGTATTTCTACCTGGAAATTATCTCTCTAGGGACAAACAGTATCTCTCACATATCTCACTGAGCACAGGAAGAAACACTCTTTTAAGATTTAACTACTGAACTTTTCCTTATATCTCACCTTTATGAAAATAGCACTTTAGATTTCATTTGGAAACCAGGCTAACAGAAACATTATCCTAGCTAAAACTTAAGATGGAGGCTAAAAAAAGGGGGGGGAAGAGATTTGATTACATCATGCCATGGATTCTTGGCCTACACAAGAGAAGCAAAGGTTAAAACTGAAAGTCAGGGAGAATGTGACTGTATAACTAAAAGAAGAATGTGGAAAACCTTCTACTAAAACAAATTATACTAGCCCCATAAATTATAAGATCATAGAACCTGCTGATTAATTTAATCAATGATTATGAAAAGCCAGGGATTTTCAAGCCTCCACACAACATACTGACAAGAATACTGTAAAAACATATTAACAACAGAGTGCTTGAGAGTAAAATCACGTGCCACAAATATCTTACACTATAAGGAATATTTTTGTATTCATTGAACAAATATTTAATACGTGCCTATTACATGCCAGACACAGTTGTAAGTGCTGGAGATTCAACTGTAAGCAATGCAGGACAGTGCTTGAAGTCAATTATCATTTGAGTATTTAATGGAATTGTGACCTTACTTTGGACTCATGGACTCTTTGTTCAGGGGTCCCTTTTCTGCAAGTCCTTTCAGCTTTAGACCAAGACCTATTTATTTAATTCAGCAGTTGATAATGAAGCACTTCAAAGACCGGCAATTAGAGTTCCTTTAAGATTTAAATGTGAATTTCTTTAACATACGCGTGTGTCAAAAAAATTCACTAACAAATATACTTTAAAAGTCAAATAGTAATGCTGGTGATTTAACAGTGCTTTGCAAATAAAACATTGTGGACTAACTGAACACAGGTGGAAATAATACAAAGTTAGCAAAAAGAGAGATGTGGCAGTACCGTTTATGCTGTCATTGCCAAGCTCATCGTCTACCACTAATTTCAGCCATTAGTGTCATTAGAACAAAATGGTAGGTTAACATGACTTGAAATTCATTCGAAGACAACAAGAAAAGTGCTGCAAAATATTAAGTCCAGAACTAGTATGACCCAAGTGTTGAGTCGCATTGTATTATAAAAATTTCCCATAAACTACTTAAAGGTTAACTCAATAAGCAATCCTCAAATGTTAAGAAACATATACACACAAGGACTGCCCTCAGCTCACTGTTCTCACAAAGGACTTCTCCCATGCAATGTAATCAGACCAAGAACCTTGGAACTACCTGAGGATGTCAGATGGAAATACATTGTCTCTGCCCTTTAGGGTGACTATATATGTGGTTTGCCTGGGACAGTAGTGGTTTATAATTGTTGTCCTGCATAAGTATTAATAGTAACCCCTTCCTTTCTTAAGTATGCTTGTTTGGAAGATAAATTATGTGCCACTTTTCCTATAGGTCTCTAGGTCCCAGAATTCAGAATTTTATGACTTTCTTTTAGAGGAGTTTCAGGAGACAACCAAGTGACAACAATCCTTACAGGCCAATAGAAGTGAAAAACATCACTAAGAGGGATACATTTCTGACATGGTCAAAAATGATTATTTGAATCACAGATATACTAATATTTGTAAATCTGAGTGTGTATTTATTTTATTAATAAGATCCATCTTGCAGTATATAGACTGTCACCTTCAATACAGTCAAAAAATTAGAAAATATAGCTTAGAACAATCAAAAGCATTAACGCGGGACACAAACCTGCATATGTGAAGAAGGAGAGGGCGGGAGGGCACAGGAATTGATGATTATGAATGTTGGCTAAAGTCAGATGAAATGGCCTAGAACTTCAGAATGTTTTCCGGAAATACAGTAGGTTTAGGAACACTAAGATGTCATAAAATTCTAACGATATAAAAGCACATTTAAATGTGTATGTAACGGGCCGGGTATGGTGGCTCATGCCTGTAATCCCAGGACTTTGGAAGGCCCAGGCGGGAGGATCACCTGAGTTCAGGAGTTCGAGATCAACCTGGCTAACATGGTGAAATCCCATTTCTACTAAAAATACAAAACAAATTAGCCAGGCGTGGTGGCGCGTGCCTGTAATTCCAGCTACTTGGGAGGTTGAGGCAGGAGAATCGCCTGAACCTGGGAGTTGGAGGTTGCAGTGAGCCAAGATCGCGCCACTGCACTCCAGCGTGGGCCACAAGAGCAAAACTCTGTCTCAAAAAAAAAACGAAAACAAACAAAAAAAAAGTGTACATAAAATGAACCTATGTATGTTGTGGAAAATAGAGGCAGACAATTGTGATAGGGAGAATTATGGAGAAACTACTCGGTTTCTTCGCCTTTTTGCTGCTGTGTTCTCTTCACCAAAAGAATGGAAAGATTTTCCTTTCTACCACACTGCCAGACTTTTTTTATTGAGAGTTCTAGGTCCCTTTTCTTTAGGAGTGATTTTCATATGGAGACCTGTGCAAAGAAATACACTACACAGTCTCAGAGGAGAAGTGTTTGTGTTTCCAGGTAGGAGATGTGGGGAGCTCTACCTCTGGAAGATTGTTAAAGCAGGGTTCAGATAGACCGAGGGCTTCTGGGTTCATAAAGAATACAAGGATTTAGGTCTCCAAGGTGGCAGAGCCTCATTTGGGGATGACCACATGGATATTGGTGAAGGCCAAGGTATCAAGGGTCATGATGACACATTTTGGCTCTGTGTCCCCACTCAAATCTCACCTTGAATTGTAATAATTCTCAAGTGTTGTAGGAGGTCCCAGTGAGAGGTAATTGAATCATGGAGGCGAATCTTTCCTGTGCTGTTCTTGTGGTAGTGTGTAAGTCTCATGACAGCTGACGGTTTTATTAATGGGAATTCCTCTACACAAAGCTCTCTCTTGCCTGCCACCATGCAAGATGTGACTTTGCTCCTCCTTTGCCTTCTGCCATGATTGTGAGGCCTTCCCAGTCATGTGGAATTGTGAGTCGATTAAATCTCTTTCCTTTATAAATTACCTAGTCTTAGGCAAGTCTTTATTAGCAGCATGAGAACAGACTAATACACATGGCTTTGGAAGTCTGAGTTATCAACCTAAGCTAGTCCCAGGGGAATGGTGCCAGTAGGGCAGTCATCCACCTCTATTAGGCACACAATGACTTGAGTAGATCCCAGGCACCTCAGAGTCATTGTGCCCAAGTGGTAGAAAACCATTACTGAAGTAGCAGTAGGAGAAGGGGTAGAGAAGTAAAAACAAGCTGAAGGAGTCTTTTCAGTATGTGTAGCCCTGGAACTTCTGCAAAACCTTGGTGATAGAAAAGGTGATTTGAAATATTATTAATATTGGACTCTCTGCTTACCTTGGTAAGCAAAAACTCAGAATAAGATTTAATTTAGACGAAAAAGTATGGCATTACACATAAGACCCTGACTAGGAAATATAAAAGGACAAATGAAGGGATTCATTCAAGAGGACTCTAAACTGAAATTAACACTACTGTCCATTAAGTCTTCTGCTCTAAAATCTATATATGATTTGACTCACACATATATACAAGAAACAAATAGAATCTGCAATTACTTAAAGGAGTATATTTAGTTTGTTGGAGTCAAAAGATATAATAGGCAAAAAATCAGCATAGCAGGCATTCCGCATATCAGTAAGAATATTCCTGTTGCAAATAACAAAAGCAAAAACAAAACCGAAACTTCAACTAAAACTAGGTTAAATTATAAGGATTCTTTATTGGTTTCCTTCTCACAATTTCTTTTTTTTTTTTCTAGCCCTGGCTAGAGTGCAATGGCACAGTCTTGGCTCACTGCAACCTCCGCCTCCAGGGCTCAAGTGATTCTCCTATCTCAGCCTCTGGAGTAGCTGGGATTACAGGCACATGCCACCACGCCTGGTTAATTTTTGTATTTT